CAAAAAGCTGATGGATGAGATTTCATGAAATTATTGATCCTCATATAAATGCATATGAACTTAAAGTTCATACGAAATCTCTTTTCCCAGCTAAAAATGCTCTACAAAAATATGTCTCTGGCGGATGACATATTATTGTCTATAACACGTTAAAAAACGTGATAGACAACTTTGGTTCCAAATATAAAGAAAATCCTCGGAAAAAAAGGAGCATATTATTACTGAAAAGAGGATTGAACTCTTAAAAAGAGGAGCATATAGACTCCTAAAAAGGAGAAAAGAGACTCCTAAAGAGGAGTAAAAAGACCGATTGGCATGGTTAATAACGAAATCAGGTACCTGAATAAAATCATTTATAATGATTAAGAGATCTCGATTAACCATGTCATTACGGCAGATATGGAACCAAAGACAACATAATGTCGACAATAAAAATGATCTAGTGCAACAAATGTGATTAATGAGGATCATAAATCTCCGCTCTGTGAGCGTAAAGAGATATATATTGGCCAATAAACAAAGAGGCAGCCAAGTCTATATTAATCTCGTATAAGAAATGATTAATTTCTGGACACATGGTCCAAGCATCAAAAGAGTATTATGATACTTAAGACAAGACGGTGTGTCGCGCTGGGTTTTGTCAAAATCACTCTATATTGAGTTGGTGAATAAATGACTTGAATTGCGCCTCATGGGATGTCTGTAGGACTAATCCTAAAATATATGATATCATAGTTATATTCCCGGAAACTTATAAGCATGATGTTTTTGAACATCATCAAAACTCTTAAAGAGTTATTTGGAATAAAAGATCTTGGAAAGACAAAAGTGTCTCCAGATATTCAACTAAACATCTAAAGCAACATATGTTATATTAGTCACTCCTAAAGGAAGTCGACTCTATATATTTGATCATGAAGCACTATATATAAATACTGACGAGTATTTATATATTTTGTGAATTGTAGCTAGCATATATAAATGCTGACGAGCATTTATATATCTAGTGAATATATTGTACCTAGCAGTTGTTACTGATCTACTTGCAGGATTAATTCATTTTCTCCGACTAGACCTTTGAATGAGTTCAAATGTGTCTTCCACTATCTGCAAGGTACGATTGACTTGGGTTTATTTTATTCTAGAAACCCCGAGTTTGGTTTAGTTGGTTTTGCAGATGGATGATCTATATAAATATATATCGCAAAACAACAACTACGTGGCGTTTCCAACAACAAATTTTTGTCGCCGCTTGCTCAAGCCATGCCAAAATTATTGCGCTCCATGAAGCTTGTCGAGAATATGTATGGCTCAGATTGATGCCCTCAACATATACAAGTAGCAAGAAATATATGCACCGGTGAAGAGCCAACAACAAGACGTTGTTACATATGTTTTCCAACACAAAGGAAGCTATGTCAAGAGCAAGAGAGAAGACATATTTTTCCAAGATTCTTCTCATGCACTCAAGAATCTGAAAAGAAGCAAGAAGTTGATGTCCAGTACATCCGGCCAAGAAACAATGTAGCAGTTTCAGTTCAAAGACGCTCCTACTACAACATTCTAAAGCATCTTCGCAGATCAAAAGATCTCTTTTGAAGATGATGTTTCCAGGGGGAGACATATGATGGTGTGCGTGGCTGCACTCTTTTTCCCTTATCATGGTTTTTATCCCACTGGGTTTTTCCATGACAAGGTTTTTAACGAGGCAGCAAATAACACGCAAAAATAGACATCAAAAGTGAAGATCTATCTATCTTCAAAAATCTCTGTCACGCATTGACGAGATCAGAAGAAGCGAAAGAATGATTGAGATGCATCATTTACGAAAGCTATGAAGAGAACAAGACTCGTCTGTTCTAGGGGGAGATTGCGTCACTGTACTCTTTTCTCCTTATCATGGTTTTTATCCTTTACGGTTTTTCCATGATAAGGTTTTTAACGAGGCAGTACGCAATACGGTAATAACGATGGATAATCAAGGGGGAGTATTATAAATAGGATAACTATAATTGTGATTATCCATTACACTCCTTCCTCCCCAAGCAACTTTGTCCCCAAGCAATTGTACTTTGATTTTATCTTGAATATTTAGCTTATCCTAAAGACCCTATATATATGTGTTGTACGTTGACAACATCAATAAGAAGTGTGAGTAGAGAGAGAAAGTAAATAAAGAGTGAAATGTGTTCTCTCGTTCACTTCCCTCTTCCTCTCTTCATTATTTCTTTACAGCCATACATATATAATATAATATAATATTATTATATTTGTTTACGTTATGTTTTATAACAATAAGAGCTAAATAATGACTTTGGTACGTTGGCCTTTTCTTATGGTCATTTTGTGAGAAGCATTTAGAGAGGATCTTGACTTACTAATCAAAATGTAAATAATTATTTTGTTGTGTAGTCTTTATTAATCTTTGACTAATGATCTGCCACTAAGTATCAAGCTACCTGACATTCACTAAAAGTTCAACTAACAACTTTATAATAGTTTATGTACCAACAATTATATCTAAAGACTCAATGTATTTATGTCTGTGTTGCGTTTAATTTAAATATGTTTTCTTGCATATAACGAAGGATATCTTTCTTATGTGTGTTTAGGTCACGTGATGTGGCATATAGGCACGTGATCCTGCAGGCAGCATGTTTGGTCGACATTATGATTTTAGCATGGAGCTTCTTTATGCCAGAAGAATGTCCTTTTCCTTCTCTCCATATGTATTACTTTGGAGACTTTAAATTTATACAATAATCTAGTCCGTATTTTCTATTTTTGTATAATTTTTTCAATTTTCCATATCATTTTTGCTATTTAACGAAAATTTCTCGCTATTGCATTGCATAGATTTGCATCATTATATATTATTTGTATCACTTTCTTGGTAAATCTGCATCATTGCATATGTACCAACGAGATTTACTTATAGTGTTGAATAATTAGGGGTTTTACTATCAATTTACTACAAAAACATTCGCCATTCAGCTGAATTTTTTTGTTTACGGGAAACGTGCATGGATTAAAGATTATTGATCACCGATATTCATGATATATAACATTTACAAAAAGAAAAAAGGCAAAAAAAAAAAAATCAACTCAGTGGTTGGCCACAAGCCACTAATATATCTAAGTAGCTAGCACTCATTTTCAAGTCGTTTGACATCTATAAAGATTGGGTTCAATTTAGCTACCTACCTTATCAATGGGTGTTAGTAAATATCCTTATGTGAGATCCAACGAAACGAACAAAGATAAATCATTATATGACTCTAGCTAGAATCATAGGAAATGAATTATTGTAATTATTGTAAATTATAAGTGATCTGAGCCATATATAAATGTCGACATTTCACCACATTTTTTTTCAATAATTATAGTTACGGATTATTTTTTAGACTAATTTAATCCGTTTCGTTCAAGTCCATCTTATATCGTGACATAATTTGTAAAGTTGGATTAAAATTTTATGATCGTGAGTTAGGCTCTCAAGACTACAAATGTCCCTCTCACATTACATCAATATAACCACCACCAAACCGTACAACATTCCTACTTTAAAACCAACAAACACATATGTCAAAACACACATTTTTCAACATTCCTACTTCAAACCAACAAACACGTATGACAAAAAAAACATTTTTCATAATTGTGAATATAACTTTAACGACCTTACCAATGCCCAAATACCAAATACCTGATAGAGTGTTTCGATTTTTTTGACAGACTATCAATAAATCTACTGAAGATATACACATATATTACTTAATAAAATATATGTTTAATTAGGTAGATAGCCTAATCGATATTTATAGTTAAATATCGACTTGGTTTTGGTTTTGTTGAGTTTTTTTTTCTTATCATCCTAATCGATATTTATTTACAATTTTCTTACCACATCATTTTTACAAATAAGTGACAAAATTAGACTATTTAGTCACATAATATAACTCAAACATGATGTAATAAATTAGTACGGCGCGCCGTTACTTCGTGTGTTCTCTCTTTGACCAATGCAAAGAGAATGGATGGTAGACACAAGATCTGGGTTACTAGTCCACGTTGTTCGACGATCGTACACCGTAACTTGCGAAGCCAATTTAGTCAACGACTCAACGATCCATCCACGTGTCTATCTATCATCCATCAGATCCACAATCTCAATAGCGCACCATAATAAATAAACCACAAGGTACAGGAACATCACCTTCGTTATAAATCCATTTTCCCGCCCAATGTCACATAACGCCTAGCTGTCATTTTCGTTAATTCCGAAAATACCCATGGGGCAACGTAATGGCTCCTAGATAAGGACATGGATATAAATGTAAATTAACTAAAAAATCACGTAGTAACAAAAACGTAACCCCACCGGCGATTTTATATTAAATTCTTAGGTCTTTTAAACTTTAAAGGCGTTCACGGGGAAGGCATGTTTTTGGATATTTATTAATATCTTGTTTTAGTGGAAACATTTAATATATAAATTTACGTGAAGAGATAAATTAATTTTACTACCATAGTCCATAGCCCGGCTCTATGTATTTTAATTACCACCACATTTTAGATCACAGTAATCATGTTACTCCTATTTTTGTTATGATCGTGAATGATAAACATAAAATGTGTATATACTAACGGAGTTTGATGAGCTAATGATCACATAGATCCAGTTTTAGTGTACAAAAATAATACACAAATGCAATCATTTCTTTAGATAGATCTTAATTATTTGAACAAATAACTAAAAAGTATTTGTAACACAGTAAGAGAGAAAATAATTTAGTCAAACAGATTAGTAGAAGAAAAAGACAATTTTATGCAAATAATGTACTTGATTTTATCGAGCGTTATTTAGTCATTAGTGTAAATCCTAATTAATTATTACTAATATTACTCTGAATAATTGACCATAAACGCTTTCTCGTGATTAGCGAATCTAGTGGATATTTCTTTTACTGATATATAATTCTCCCAGTTTTAGCCTTATTATGTGCTCCTTTTCATTATTATTTTTAACAATCCTCTCTGTCAAGTCAGTCTTTTAATTCTCTTTCTTAATTTGCTAACGAATTCTCCCCTAATAAGCGTGCATGAGCATGACTAATTTCGGATAAAACATAGTATACTGTAGTACTTAATACTTAGTCAAATCAAGAAATTATGATACTATAACTTATAGGGAAATATTAAGCGTGTATATAACTAATTAAGAGTTAAGACTCCTTTTTCTTTTTTCCCAGAAAAAGACTTCCAACATTATAACAAACTACAAACAAAGACTTGTTCTTTTTTTTTTTGTCAACATAATGTATTAATACTTTAGTAGACTTGTTCTTTATTAGTGACAACTGACAAATTAGATTGAACATAACCACTTAACAAAAGAGAGGAAATTTTCGATTGCATGCAAATATGCAATGACAAACAAAAGAGAAGCATATCAGTGAATAGAAGAAGTAGAAACTGTGACTAATTCCTGCAATTATTTTTATTTTATTTATATTTTCTTTTCAGAAATAATTATTAAAAAAAAAAGGGAAAAGAAAAAAACTGGTGTCCGTTACTTTATTAAAAGGTTTAGGAATCGAGAGAGAGAGTATATTACTTATACTTGTGCTAGATTGCAGACAAAGCAAAGTATCAAAGATTCATTATTCACTTATACATATACACAGATACATAGAGACACTTGTTGTATATAATACAGAGAAAGAGAGACAGGTGTTAGGGCAAAGTTGAGAGTAGTGGTGGGTCTGTTTTCTGACATAAGTCCCCATTTCCCGCCTTTGCTCTTGTTTGAATATGTCTCCTTCTCCTCCATCTTCCTCCACTAAAGATATAGAGAGAGAAAGAAAGTTAAAAGACTGAGACTTTCATCAGAGATAAGAAAGAAAGAGAGTGACAGTGTGTGGATGTGATTTTTTTTTTGTTTTTGTGTTGGAAAATGGATACCCCTCAGAAGAGTGTTACTCAGATCGGAACTCCAATTTCCAAATCCAGATTTGAGGTTTTTTCTTCTTCTTCTTTATAACCCTATCATTGTTTTGGTCAAAGTTCTGTGTTTTTTTCTTTCTTCTAATGAATGTTTGCTGTTTTTTTTGTGCCAATTCTCAAAGTTTGGTTCCCATCTCTGAATTTTTTTTCTGTTTTATTGTTAGGTAAATTCAGATTTCATAGGTTTAATGCACCAATTTATTCAATTCATTGTTTTTTTAACAAATAAAATGTTACTTTGGTTTTGTGTTTGAAGTCAATGCAGTTAGTTCAAAGACATAACACAACTGTAACTGGTTTTTAGATTTGTTTGACTTTGACGGTTTTAAGTTGTGAAGTGTTAATTATGATCTGTTATCTCCAATTCACTACAAAATCTGTACTTTTAGTTTCTGTCGTGTTTGTTAAGATTCTTAATTGGAATCTGTAACCTTAATCTGGACAAAAAAGGATTTATAATATGCAAATTTTAGTTATTTTAATTTTGATGGTTTAGTTGTTCACATTTCACTGTGAAGTGTTAGTTGTGGTTATGTTTCCCTAATTCACTAAAAAGATCTGTACTTTTTTTGTTTCTGTCCTGTTTCTTAAGATTCTAATTGGAATCTGTAACCTTAATTGCAGTACAAAAAAAGATTCATAATTTTTCCTTTTTTTGTGTGTTGTCTGGAATGCAGGATTCTCCAGTGTTCAATTACATAAACAGTTTGTCTCCAATAAGACCAGTTAGATCCATACCAAATCCTAACCAATTTAGCTCTCTGAATTTCACTTCTCCTCCCTCTGTTTTCACTTCACCACACCTAACTTCTTCTCACAAAGAATCTCGATTCTTCAAAACTCACAACTCTTCTTCTTCTTCTTCATCTTCTGATCCTACCAATCCCATTGAATCTCGAGAAGATAAGTCTACTTCTAATGAAGAAGTTGTAGCAGAAGGAGAAAATACAAAAGGTCTCAACGTAGATTCTTCCATGCGAGAAGAAGAAACAAATCGTGATGATTCTGTTGCTTCACCTTGTGGTGGAGATACTACCGATCTTTCGCTTGTTCCATACGCTCCTCGAGGAGAGAATGATACTTCTGAGGGTGCAGGCATGGACTTGCAGAAGATGTATGATAATGTTCAAGGGAAAAGCGAAACTCCGGATTGGGAAAGTTTGATTTCAGATGCTTCTGAGCTGTTGATCTTCGACTCACCTGATGCTTCAGAGGCTTTTAGATGTTTTATGATGCAGAGAGCATCAAACTCTGAAGCACGTTTTAGCAATGGTGTGGAGGTGCAAACAATGCAGCCCGATTCAAACAGGGAACCGGAGTCCGCTAATACGATTCCTTATGAGGTAAAGTCATGAATAATATCTCAAGTAGTTATTTTTAGTGTATTATAATGATTACTGTCTCTGAAAGAGTTGTCTTGTTGGTGTTTGTTTTGTGTGATAGGCTGTTTCACTCTTGCATCGCGGTATAAGAAGACGCTGCCTTGACTTTGAGATGCCGGAAATAAGCAAACTAACAACGCGGCTTGTGAATCCTCGTCAAGATGTGTTGTACCGAGTATTGGTCTTCATCTAAACGCCATTTTAATGTCCTCAAAGGACTGTAAAACCAATGTCAGTCATGATTACTCATGTTCTGGAAGATACAAGTGGGTTTACAAAGCTCCATCTCTACACTGCAAGAAAGTTTGGACCAAACAGAAAATGAAACCCGGGAAGATGCAGATCAAGATGTTCCCGTTGAACCAGCCTTGCAAGAGTTGAATTTGAGCAGCCCTAAGAAGAAGAGGTAACTGTTATTCTCTGAGAATAACTACTCTGTGTAGATTCCCTTTATTTATGTTTTAATAACTATTGGCATGATAAACACATGACACAGGGTTAAGTTGGATTCTGGAGAAGGCGAGTCGTGTAAGCGATGCAACTGCAAAAAGTCCAAGTGTTTGAAACTGTAAGCTCCAAGTTCCACTTTTTTGATCTTTGGTTCTTCAAAAATGTTTGGTGTTTTGAGACTCTTGATGTTTGTGTGCAGTTACTGTGAATGCTTTGCTGCTGGAGTCTATTGCATAGAGCCATGTTCATGTATAGACTGCTTCAATAAACCTATCCATGAAGACGTTGTCCTGGCGACTCGCAAACAGATTGAATCTCGGAATCCACTTGCATTTGCTCCTAAAGTCATTAGGAACTCTGAGTCGGTTCTAGAAGCCGGGGTATGATCTTTTTCTCCATCCTATTATTATTCCTCTACATCCATCCATTTATCTTGCTTGAAGTGATAATAAAATTGCAATAACACACAGGATGATGCAAGCAAAACTCCAGCTTCTGCGCGCCATAAACGTGGCTGCAACTGCAAGAAATCAAACTGTCTGAAGAAATACTGCGAATGCTATCAGGTTTTTATTTTCCCTCATCGATGTACTTCCAATGGATATATGTGGTTAACTTCCTTTGATCTGATTCCTATAATTTGGTCTGTTGTTTCTTTAAAGGGTGGTGTGGGCTGTTCCATAAACTGTAGATGTGAAGGATGTAAGAACGCATTTGGCCGCAAAGATGGTTAGCTTCTCTGCTTCTGAGTTCTCATTACTAATAACCTCACATTATCTTTCTGATACTGATTCTGCTTAATGAATATCTCAGGGTCTTCCATTGACATGGAAGCAGAACAAGAGGAGGAAAATGAAACATCTGAGAAAAGCAGAACAGCCAAAGCCCAACAGAACACTGAGGTTTTAATGAGAAAGGAGGCGAGGTCCGATCTACCTACGACACCAACGCCAATTTACAGGTAAACTCTCAAATTCAAAAGGAGTTTTATTGTGAGTTTATATTACCTGAATAGTTGAATTTTTTGTTTTTTTCCAGACCAGAACTGGTTCAAATACCTTTCTCATCATCTAAGAACAGAATGCCTCCTCCACAGTCTCTTCTTGGAGGTGGATCTTCCTCAGGGATATTCAACAGTCAATATTTAAGAAAACCAGACATTAGTTTGACTCAATCCCGGATCGAGAAGTCATTCGAGACAGTTGCAGAGGATGGAGCTGAAGAAATGCCTGAGATTCTCATCCACTCCCCGATACCTAACATCAAGAGTGTCTCTCCCAACGGCAAGAGGGTCTCTCCTCCTCATATGGAATCATCTAGCTCAGGGTCAATCTTAGGGAGAAGAAGTGGCGGGCGGAAACTGATATTGCAGTCGATTCCATCGTTTCCTTCTCTCACTCCCCAACACTGAAAGCATTTGGTGTTGTGTAGCTATGGAAATTCTTTGAATCTTTTTCAAGGTGAAAGATGATAAATGTCAACTTCTAGTTGGTAGTAAGTTAGCACTTAGCACACTTTAAGTCTGTAGTCTAGTGGTTGTGTAATAAAGATGTCAATCCATCATGTTCTTCACAACAAAAACCAAACATTTCTTGTAATATATAGTACCTTCTCTTGAAGTTCTTGCCCACTATATTGAAACATACTGTGTCTGCTCTGAAAATCCCAGTTTCTGCCATGTTTCTCATTCAACCCCAGCTCTAGCTTTATTTTAAAATACATCTTATGCTAATTATTACAATATTTCAGAAATAATACTTCTAGAGTCAGTTCAATGAATATCTTGAAAGACTAGATGTAATTTACCTTACGGACTTCCCTACTCTTCTTTAGTTGAGGATCTTATACACCCGCAGAACCGGTTTTTCTTCTTTCTTGCAGTTCTTTTCCCGCCCTTGTGAATAATGTCTCTCAAAAGAATCACTGTCCTAGTCTCTGAAAACATTTTCCTTCCTTTGCTTTTGGTACCATCTTCAAGCTTCAGCATGGTTTGCTCAATGTTCTGCATTTTGTTTTGCAGCTGCTCTATCTTTTCAGACCCGCTTCTTGACTTCTCCACGACCACCTTTCTGTATATATCTCTGGCATCTCCAGTCTCCTCAATTTCCTTTGAAAGAATCTCGTTTGTGTTTTCCAGCTGTGAGACAGCTTCTTCCATTTCTTTCAACTGTCTCTTCACTATAACCAAATCAGCGTTGCTGAATCTTCCTTGTTTCTCATTCATCTCCAGCTTGCTTTTCAGATCTGTTAGGCTAATCCGGAGACTTGACAGTCTCCTCGAATCAGACAAAAGTCTCTCCAGAATCTTTGCCTTGTCTTCGATGTTTCTAGATAACTCCAGCTTGTCAACAACTCTAACCGCTTTATCAGATTCTATAGAGGGATTCCGGCTTTGGCGACGGAGATTGGAGTTCAATGGCCTCTGCGGTTTGTTACTGTTGATGAGAAAGTTTATACTGGTCTCTGATTCAGCAGATTCATCCCAAAACTCAAACATGTCATTGGAACCATGACTAGTTCCCTGGCTTCTGCCATAGGTCAGGGAGTCTGTGACTTGATCACGAGGAATGTCGTTCATCAATAATCCATTTTTCACCTCTGTCATCTCAGGCCTCGATCTTGGCTGTCTAGATTCACCAGAGACCTTGTCATCAAGTTGTATATTTTCAATCTTCCTGCGGTCTCTGCTTTTTTGGGAGGCGCTTCGTGTTCTTTGCCTTGATAGCCTGCCTTTCTCTTTAAAAACTGCTTGTTCGATGGTCTTAATGCATGGAGTGGTGGTACTGCCGCTTTCTTCAAGCTCTTGATAGACAGCTTCTTCCAGATTGTCTCCCTGAAAAAAATGGAAGTGTTTAGAATTCTTGAAGACCGGTACCGCAAGAAAGATGAGTTAACATTTGAAATAGAAGAACGAGTTCGAAAGTTTACCACTCTTTCTTGATAGGCTGTTGCAGGAAATTTCGTTAAAGCCTGTGTACTTTTCTCAAGGGATTTTACATCTACTGCCAAAGATGCTATCACAGGATCATAAGCTGACAATTGACTCTTCAGCTCAGTCACCTGAGACTCCAAAAAGCCAATTGTTTCTTTCATCTGTTTTATCTTCGTCGTTTTTGTAACAACTTCATCATTGAGATTTTCACAAACTCCTATGAGTTCGTTAACTTTGTTCTCAAGAATGAGTTCACGGACAGCTGAGATCTGAAGATCAAAGTAGAAAGATGTTGCTTCAGCATCCCAAAGTCCAATCTCATTGCTTTTCTCTTGCAGCTCCAAACTCAGGTACTCCTCTCGAACCTGTTGTCGTTGAATTTCTTTGTTTAAGAACTCTACCTCTGACTCCAAATTCTTATTCAAAGCATTAAGTTTTCTAATCTCTTCCTCCTGTCTTCCAGCAACATCTGACACTTCAGAAATCTGCCTCTCTAAATTTCCCGTCATTCGTCTTGATTCTTCACAGTCTTTCCTCAGCTCCTCAACTTCTTTGTGCAGCTCTTCATTTGCATTGTTTGTAGCCTTGAGCATTTGCTCTGCTTCTAGGATCTCAATTTCCCTATGTTCCAAGATTTCATCTACATTAGAAACCTGATGCTCCAAGAGTCCATTTAAGAAGTTGTCTTCTTCAAGGCCTTCCTGTAAATTCTCCAGCTTCTTGTTAAGACCTTGACTTTCTTCCTCTTTACCTTCTAACTTCTTCTCCAGTGTCTCAACCTTGCGCTTCAGGCCCGTACTAATTTCTCGTAAACTGCTTACAGTTTCAAGAAAATCTTCAACCTCCTCAGCCATTTCAGACCCAAAGGATCTGTAAACCACACATGTGTTACTCAATGCAACAGCTTCCTGAAGAATTGCATCATTTTCTTCCTCAACTACACACATTCCATCTTTAAGTTCTGAGAATTTCAGAAGCAAATTTTTGTTATCATTGAGTGTATGGGAATAATCTTGTTGCAAAACCATGTATGACTCATGCAAACTCTCAAACTTCAAATGCTCCGTTTGCAGTTCAGCTCTCAGCTCTTGTTCATGTTGCTCTCTTTTGATCAGTAGTGATTTCAACAGCCGGTTCGCCTCCATTAGATCTTGCTTGTCCTTTTCCAGCATTCCACAGTGATGTATTATAGCCTTTAGATCTTTTTCGAGAATGTTCTTCTCCAATTCGACCACCAAACCATCTGATTCGAATTGTCCAAGTAGAGATAAGAGCACCGAGTTCTCAACTACTAGTCGCTGCATCTCATATTCAGCACTGGAAAGTGAACATTTTAAGCTTTTAATCTCTCCCAAAGCACGTGAAACTGAAATTTGGTCTTTCGTAATCTTCTGTTCAGCCTTGCAATCTGCTTCAACTTGAAGTGCCTTTATCACTTGACAGATTGCACCCCTCAAGCTATCAATCTCATCCAAAAATATTTCTGCTTCCATCTGCTGCTCGAGATTCTCACTTTCCAGTTCCGAAATGAGTTTCTCTGAGAATTCCGATGCTTCAACATGCTTCTGACACTCAATCAGGAGAGAAAAATTCTTCTGCTCCAGATCTTCTATAAGCTTTTGCAAGATGAAGATCTCGACTTGTTTGTTTACAACTCTGTCAAGCTCATCCTCATAATCTCTTTTCCTGGAGTGACACTCTTCTCGAAGAAAGCTCACATTCTTCTGAAGATCTGCTAATCTGCTTTCAGTTGATCGTTTGTAATTATCACTCTCCTGCTTTTCAGCGGCAAGTGAGACCTGTAACTCTTCTACTTGATGGTGTTTGAGCTTATTATCGCGTTGTGAATCAGTATAATTTACTTCCAGTTCTGTATACTTCTTCTCCAAGGCTCCTAGCTTCTCCTCAACCTTATACAATTGAGAGACAATAGATTCTCTTTCCTTCATAAGTTCAGACTTATCATTTTTGAGAAACTGGAAGAAATCTTCAAAGCACTTTGACTTATCCCTTAAACTTTCAAGCTCAATGTTTGCACAAGACAGGGATTTCTCCAATAAAGAGTTCTTTTCCAAGAGTGTCTGCATATTCGCAGTCATGATTTGCAACTGGGAAACCAAGTTAGCTCTCTCGGCAGCAAGCTCAGATTTCTCTCCTCGTAAAGACTCACATCTTTCTTGCAGATCCTCTGCTTTCTCCCTGGAACCGTCTAGTTTGGTGTTTGATTCCAAAAGCAATTTCTCCAAATCAGCATTCCTCTTTAGAATGCTGTCCATTTCACATAGCTTTCTTGTAACAGCATTTTTTTCATCTCTCTGATTGGTACATAACTCGATTAGCTTCGAGTTCTCGTCTTGTAGTTTTTTCACAGAGTATGAAAGAGATTCGGGATCGAAACCTGTGAGGCTCACTTGATCAATTAAGTTTTGGTATCTCCTATTCATGTTTTCAATATTACCCTTCACACAGTGGATCTCTACTTGAAGGGCACTGCTCTGGTTCATCTGTTTCGCAACTTCTTCCTCAAGCTTTTCTTTCATTTTCTTCAAGCAAGAGATCTCATTTTTCTGAATCTCCAAGGAGATAGAAGTATCATTTAATTCGCTTAAGTTTCGGTTTTCTTCTTTAACTGAGCTGATGTCACCTTCCAACTTACGATTTCGCATCTCCAGTTCTCTCAACATTTGAATCCTGTTTTGAAGTTCCAAGGTGAGAACCTTCTGTTCCTCTTGGGATTGAGAATGCAAACTCTCCAAATTTCGAAGGCTAGCTCCAAGTTCTGAAAACCGCAATTGTTCTTCTTGCATTACAGCTTGAAGCTTTTCAATCTCGTTTTGCTTCTGGACAAGTTCTTGATCCTTAGCTGACATTTTGTGCGCTAGATTGTCTGCTTCTACCTTGAGATTTTGATTAAAGCTCTCCAAAAGTGCGCATTGTTCCTCCACAGTCTTTATCTTTGCAGCGCCAGCAAGAACCTCACTGCTCAGTCTTTTGGCATTATCTTGAGCATGAGAAACTTCTCTCTCTAAATTTGATATTGTCTCCAAACACTGCTGATATCGAACATTCAAGTCGTCATTCACTTCATTCGACTTCAAAAGTTCTTGTTTTAAAGCTTTGATTCCATTTTCTGCTTGCTCAGATTGGTCCCTGAATATTCTAACACTCTCCTCGGCATCTCTAATTGTCTTCTCTAAAGAAGATATCAACTCAAGGCTTTTATTGTATCTGAGCAAGCCAGCCTCCTTCTCAGACTTCAATCTAGAAAGCTCTTGCTTGAGACTCATGGCTTCTCTTTCTGCTTCAGATGCTCGGTTAGTGAGCCCCTTCGCATATTCTTCCCCATGAGAAATCGATGCTTCCAAATCCGTTATTCTCTCCATGGCTTGACTATACTGAAGAAGCCCAGTATCTCTCTCCACCTCTAGCTTTGCAAGAGATTCCTTGAGTATTTTAATCTCAATGTCAGCTTTGCAAGCACGTTCATCAAATCCTTTAACATCCTTTTGAGCATCGTTGAGTTCCTTTTCAAATCTGGATACTTGGTTCAAGATTAACTGATATTGGAGATTCAAAGCTTCCTTTTCAGTCTGAAGCTCAAACAATGTTCTCTTTAAGCTTTCAACTTCA